CACTATCTGTCCCATGGCTCTGAGTAACTTTCTAGCCCACCAGAGTACTATATTTCCTCTATTCCTTTCTGTATATATTTTGTCATTTTCATTACTGTTTGCTAAATATATTATGACACATCATTTACCTTGGTCCACAGCTTTGAGACATTTCTATATGGCTTCCTCCCTCTAAGAATTTCACAAATAAATCATTGATGATAGGTAATAGTTAGATGGCATAATAATTTTTTTTCTTACAAAAGTGCTCTAACCCAGAGGCATCTAAATATTGCAGACTGACAACACAGCATATTCTGCTTATGTGATAGTGACATTTTGAAATAGCCACATCACAAGATGCTGAAAGAGATGATTTAATTAAGAGTAGATCCTTAATTAAAAATGAAAAGCCTAAATAACCACTCATTAAACAGTAGTAAAGTTGTTTCTAATAACATGCTTTTCCTACTTCATTGTTCCATGCAAAAGTAATTAAAAAGGATTGTGTAAAGTAAATGCACAATTTTTATAACAGCTTTTGAAAATCCTGAAAATACGTTCCCGCTAATTGATTTGTCCTTTTCTCTTGACTTTTTCTAATGAAATTGAAATTAACATTGGCACTTTGGTTTTTAACGACTTCATTCATACTGTGTTGTATAGAGTGCTAAGATAGCCTGGTTTGTGCATTGGGAATGAATGTAGCTCAACAATGGGTCACATCAGGCCAAAATGTCATTACATGGTCTCTAATTTTGGTTATTAGGCTCAGGTTATTCCGCCCGCCCAAGATCTGTAATTTCAGGGATCCTCTCTACATGCAGATCTCACTTCCTCATGAGGAAAGGAAGTTCAGACACTTCTATAGAGCCATTCCCAGAGTCCTGGATCCTGCAGATGGTGTTTTCTGTGTCCAGGGTTCACAGTGCATGAATGGGGGAAGACTGGATGTGCTGGAGTGAAAGGTGGGCTGACCTGCACACAGGGATGGCCTGAGGGGGTTGCGGGGCCTACGGCAATCCTCTTTCAGTGCCCCAGGTGCAGGGCTGGAAGCAATCCTGCCCCACTCCTGCCCCAAGGCCCACCCCTGCTCTGCTTCCTCTCCAAGCCCTCTCCCGAACAATGCAGCCCAGAGGTTTATGGGGGTCTGGTGCAGCGGTAGCAGGGGTCACCTTCTCCCCACACTCATCACATGGACGGCAGGAGCTGAAGAAGCCCAGCAGCCTTCTCTGCTTCACCCCACCATGCTGCCCTCCCAGTCTGCTGCACCCCACTTCTCCAGGGCAACCAGAGTGCCCTGGGGCTGGGTGGGCGAAGCAGACCTAGTTGCTTAACACAGGGTCCCTGGGCTGGAATCCAGTGCACAAGATGGTGCTGGGTTCCTATATTAGCGCCAAAGAAGAGGCATAAAAGCTCAATGACTGTTGAGTCCAATGTGGAGCTGAGGATCCTAGAAAAGGGGGTGAAAAGTAGCCATGGAGAGGTGAAAAAGAACTCTGGGTTAGGATACTTAGACTTTTTGTTACTCTGAAAGGGGGTCTGGTGGGCTGACATGGCTTAGATGACTAAGTTGTGGTCAGAAACAGGCCCCGTGCAGGGCCAAAGAGGTAATCAACAGGTGTCACTTAAAGCAAAGATCACTGTAATGCTGTGGTGTGATGTCAGGAGAAACATTTTTATGCATATAGGGCACACACTAGGGAAAGCCCCCTGGGCATCAGCATCTCCTTGGGTGCCATGTTCAAGTACAAATGTTGGTATTTGCACAGAGGTAGTGCATGTAAATCACCACATGTGCAAGACATTGAAGACTGGGTTGAGGTTCCTTTGAAAAATGTGGCTACAGTATTTTAGTGAAATGTTCTTGCAGAGCTAGGAAAAGAAATACAAGCCATAGTGTCACTATTGGCCCTAGAAACACCGTGGACATGTCTGCACTAGAAATGTTGTAATGGCAAAGTTGCAGCTGCACTGATGTTGTGTAGAAAGTTATTACAATGACAGAAGAGGTTCTTCCATAGCAGTAGTAAATTGACCTCTCTAAAAGGTGGTAACAAGGATTAACAGAAGAATTCTTCCATTGACCTGGCACTGTTTATGCTGGGGCTTATGTTGGCTTAAAATTTTTCACACCTCTGAGTAATGTAGCTGGGCTGACACGTTTCTAGAGTAGACCAACCAAGTACTGTAAATAGCTTGTCTTATTTCTTTGCTGTAGTATTTGTAAATACCCTGAGCACGG